CCCCTATTGACCCCTGGAAGTAACCTCAAAGAACCCCTCGGGATGTCCCCTTCATCATACACTCCTTGGCAAATCCTAGAAAGATCCAGAGAGCAATCCCCAAAAGTGATCTTCAACATCACCCGATATCTGCCCTTGACGATCCCCTTCATGAATTCACTCCAGAAAGACCCTCAGCGCTCCCCTGGAAAGTCAACTCCAAAAAATTTCCGAGATCTCCCCTCGAGTATACCTTTCATCAATATCCCCTCGATAGGCCCTGAAAATTCCTCTTGATCATATCCTCCAATGACCCCCCCCACCCCACCCCGACCCCTCTAAAACCCGGAGAACTGCCCTGCCGAGTTATCCCCAAAGAACCTCCACGATCTCCCCTTGACCATACCCTCCCTCTCCTTCCCCCTTAAAAATACCACGAGAGCTCCACTATAAAGATACTCCCCAAAAACCTCCCGAGATCTCCCCTCGTCCATACCCTTCATTGACCCCCCCCTCCCTCAAAAGACCCTGTGGGCTCTCCTGGGAACTGACCCCCAATATCTCCCCTCGACCATGGCCTCCATTAATCCCCTTTTGAAAGAACCCGATAGCTCCCCTAAGGGTAACTTACACCCTTAAGAAATCGCCGAGATCTCCCATTCACCCTCTTCAAAACACCCAATTCACGTTCAAACGCTTTTCCTCACTCTGTCAACAAAATAACCCTCCAATCAATCAATTATGGCAATTTCCAACATCAATGTTTCAATTTCTGCCCAACCCTAATTGTCGCTCACTTCAATCACCTATTTGGAGCCAACTTCTGATAATAGCCGTTTTCGTAAATGAAGTCTCCGGCCTTAGTTATAACCTAATAATTGAGCTAATCTTCGGACAATATTACCAGGTAATTATAAATCAGATTATTTATTCAGAGGTAAAATCCCCAGTTACAATGTTTGGTTTAATATTTTCTTGTTTGCTCCCAATTTAGGTGATCCAATGATGTTCAACATGTTTGTTCGTTTCTTACGTTCGGCTTTCACTGTTTTAATGTGGGTTTTCCAGGTGAGTTTTCCATCCCAATATAGCCCTAATATTCTCATGGATTTTACTCGGTTTATCGGAGTTTTTTGGAGTTTTAGTACGGTTTCCTCATCCGGGATTTTTGTTCTGGAGAATACTATGAATTCCGATTGTGTCTTCGGGAATATAAATCTTACTTTTTCGGCCCATTCATATACTGTGTCCAGATTTTTTTGTGTAAGGCTCATGGTGTTCTTGACGGTTTTTCCATTGCAGAATATTGTGAGACCATCAGCGAACAATAGTCCTTTCACTGGTTTCTCAAGATTTTGGAGGATGTCGTTGATGGCTATCAAGAAGATCGTCACACTTATAACCGAACCCTGAGGAGTACTATTAGGAATTTCTGTACTATTAGACATTTTTCCATTCATCCTCACCTTAATGAGTCTGCTGTACATGACATTCTGGATATAAGCTAATATGTTACCGTTATATCCTAGGTCCCGCAATTGTCGTACGACTTTATTTCTCCAAACCATCTCATAGGCCTTTTGTAGGTCTAACAAGGAACCCTAGGTAGGTGTCCGCCTCCGATTTTGATAAAACTTATATATGTTATAGAGGAAGCGAAAATAAGGGACACGTATTTTTTCTTATCGGCTAATACGTGGATTTTGGGGGCAAAACTGTGCTCTGAAGTTGGCCACTTCTCGGGGTATTTTGTCGTTTGCGTATATAAAGAGAGTACTCAGACAAATATTTTGCCATGTAAGAGGAAGCTTATGATGAATGATGAATATGTGAATTAAAATCATCCCCAGGGGTTGAAATTTAGGGGATGAACTACCCCCACGAATTATTTTTCCAATTAAAAAAAAATATTGCTCGGAATTTCATGGGACCAATTCCATTCGAAAGAGCATTCCAAAGGACAGAATACTTTTTTTTGCATTTCTGTTACAGATTGCAATTTAACAGCGAAAAAATTAATTTCTTGTAATTTTTCAATTTTGAAATTTTTCGTAGTGTAATACAAAGCTCGTGAGAACTGATGAGATTAACGATAAAATTCATCCCCGAGGGTGTTGAATGTGGGGGCCCACTGCCCTCCTAGAAAATCATTTTTCAAATGGAAAAAAAATATAATCTAAAATTTTATAAAATCATTATTCGCAACAGGATGAGAAAAATACGGTGTACCTTCTTCATTAATTTTCTTGTTTCTGGAATCTGAATATGGAGGCAAAAGAAAAATCCATCGTCTGCATTTTTGAGAATGAAATACATGTTCTCAAACGTTCTGATGCGGCAGTGCGAGGGGGTAGTACTGGGAATGGATAAATTTGGCCAGTGGTCATGGAAAAGTCGAACAATGTGTAGAGTATAAGAAATTAAAAATAACATACAATTGAGGTGGTCTTATAACATCGATGTTTATATGTTTATATGCAGGACCGCAACGGGATCATATACGCTAGGTAAGTTCCCTCAGTGGAGGAGGCGCACGCGCTCTCCTGGCATTTTCACGCAGCTTTTGTGAGGAAACAAACTCAGAGCTCCATGATGGCCTCTATATTAACCGATAAAATTTTTGAAGTTTTTTTCAACTTATGAGGGCTTAATGCAATATAAATATGGTACTAATAATTACAAATGGATTCCAAGAAGTTGATCTATCTGCCTTTCGATCCAAAGGTCTCAGTAAAGGTGCAAAATTAGTGAAAAGGTTCCACGTCAGTAATATTCGGAAAATCATTGACGGAGCGAGTCGACAAATTCATGGATCTGTATTAAGGGAAACTCCAGGTGCTCAGAGCACACGAAAGAAATAAAATATTTATTCACCAATAATTGAGGTAATTTTTATTGAATTTCTGAGTGGAGCAGATACGCTCATCGTCGTTTCCCTCTATGAAAGTGGTATATGGATGATATTTCTCTTCCACAGCTGAATCAGGCCAATGGGCGTACTATTGTTGATACTAAATGCACATGCAAAGGGGGTATGTTGCTGTGTAAAAATGCTGCAGCATTATGCATTGTCGTAAATGAAGAGAATACACTTCCGAAAACCGATGCACCAAAGGTCTGGAACTGCCCAGCCGAGCAGCAGTTGGAAAAATATCGCAAAGAATCTAGAATGGAAGTAATGTTTTCTTCAGAAGATGGAAATATTTCTGGCAACACTATCTACACTGTCGAAAATGTTGCAAATGTTTCCGAAGCTCATATGGAAAAGAACAGCGCATTTATCTACATGTTGAAAGCTGAGAACAGGTGTATTGATGAGAAGGAAATTCGAGAAAAGTTGAGGAAACAGCAGGAAGATTTTTGTCGTGCACTATTTACTCAAGTGTTTGTATTACAACAAGAAAACGGTTTCAAAAGTTATCATACCCACGAGTATGTGCTGGATGACAGTGGCAATCGGGTTTTGTCGGGAATTCGTTGTCCTGAAGAATATGATGCGTTTTACACAAGCAATATGAAAATCGATACAAAAACGTGGCTCAATATTTGTCTCCTGTCTTTAAATCAATCAAATACGGCTGCTTGGTTTGAACAGAGGTCTGTGAGGATTACTTGTAGTGAGAAAGCACACAAGATCAAAACCCGGCGTAAGGATTTCGATCTTTTTGCTGTGAAATTCAGGGAAAACTCTGAAAGCCACATCTCCACTAAAGCCATGCGATACGGTTTGGAAATGGAGCCTGTGGCAAGAGAATTTTTCAAGAATTTAATTCAGCAAGAAGTTTGCGAGACCGGCTTGATTATTAATTTTTCTCAGCTTTTTTTGGCATGTAGTCCAGATGGTTTAATTTTCAACGGACAAACTTTAGAGTTATTGGACATGAAATGCCCATTTTTATGTACTGATTCCATCATAGTAGATTTTGAAAAACACGAAAGTTCTGTCAAATATCTGCAGGTCGATGAGAATCGAGAATTTTTTTTAGTAAAAAGCCATCAGTATTATACGCAAATTCACGTATCTATGTACGTGCTTTGGGTAGGAATGTGTCATTTTTTTGTATTTTCGAGCAAACAGTACATACATTTGCAAATCGCAAGTGATGAAGAGTTCCAAACTTGTTTCATTCCAAAAATAGAGAAATTTTATTTCGATTATTACATTGAGTTATGTCAGCCAAGTGCAAACAGTGAAGCAGAACTTGTAAAGGGATGATGGAAACTAGATGAAGTAGAGAAAAAACTATTTCCAAAGATTCCAAGGACCATGGAAAAATCCTAGAGGAGAAAACTAAAAAGTTATTTGTTACAAATGGAATATTTACGAATGGTTGGATCGTTTTAATGTCATTATGAAATAAAATTTCAATAAATACGACACAATTTTAATAGTCATCTTTTTATCTTCATTCAACTGTCAGGACGAATAATTGGCTCCTTATTATTAGCTCACACACAACAAAGAACCATGATTTTGTCGATATAATTGAATAATTCTACATTAATATGACGTAATATTCCAAAAAAATTTCATTCGTTGAATAGCTCTTTCTACATGAATTCTGACGGACGCAATTGAGTAGCCTTCTAGGACCTCCTCTCGAGTGAATTGGGGATTGACTGCGAATGGAGGCATTACCAATAGACATTGATGCTCCAGAAGGGCATTTTTTGTTTGAGGGAATCCTATGTCCGCCATAATCTGATCTCCAGCCTGCACCAACTCGAAAAAACCAGAATCATTAACGATAAATCCATCAGTACATTTTCCACCAGGTTTTCGTCAACTAAAAAAAAAAAAGAATTATTTTTCTATATTTTTTAATATTTTCACCATCATGCAAGTTGTGATTTCAAGCAAACATACTTTTCCCATTGAGTTCATCAATTTTCATGTGCTCGATTCAATTTTTTTAAGCTCGTAATCGTTCGCCCCTGTCCTGACTTCCAGATTTTTCTACTTTTTTGTAAATGTCAGGAAATATTGTCGGGTTGAATGCCTCGTTTAAGGGATCATTAGATTTTTCACCTCCAGAAAAATGAGCACTGCAAATCCTAGAATTTGCTGTGGGAATCCACGGCTTGCCATCAGGCCGGGAGGAAAAATGAAAACCATCAATACTATAAGTCATATCACAATTCGGCTCACTGTTTTTACGCGCCTATGCATTCCTGTATCAATTAGTCAATATTTTCGTTTAATTTTTTTATTTTTATAGAAGTCATAGGATACATACATTTTTCGACGTACAGATCTGATCTATTGTTGTTTCCGCACTTGCTCCCAAGGACGGTTTGGAAATTAGTAGAAGTGCAGGTCAGGATTTTTCTTTGCATTATTACTGCAATTCACGACACAACAATTTTGTTTCGATTTTGATTTTACTTTCTGTGAAGTGTTTCTGGAGTTCATCGCGTACGGTTTTGGAGCACATACAAAGTGGCATGGAGTGCCCCACAAAAATTGCAACCGTTGGCCACTTAGCGCCGCCAATCGAGCTACTTGCCTAGCGTATGCGGTAGAATAAAAATATCGATTAGAATGTGACTTCTGTTTTTTAAAAATAAAATCATGGGGATAAATATATATTTTTGGCTTCCATCTTTCATGCAATTCATGATCAGTCTACCAAAATCTGTCGAGAAAAACTGTCTATCAGTGAGTGTTGTTTCGTGATCGTTTCATGATGAAAATTAATCCAATCAATGTCATCAGACAGACAGATCGGTCAGATTGGTTGTTGTTCTCATGGCAATATTTGAAGATTTTAATCTTGCTGAAACGCCCGTGAACAATACGTAACGCGAATTAGTGGATGCTTTCCAAACGATTTTACTTCGATCCATGGCGGAATACAATAGTGTAGAAATGAGCCTTATAAAGATATAGAAATGTTAGCGGTTGAAGATAAAGAATTTCAAGCACATAATAAAAAATCATCTGAAAGTTGTTCGGAAGATAAGGAACCTGTAGATTTTGACTATAAGCGGAGAGCAGTAGAATTCTGGAAAAGTGCAAAGACGAAACAAAATACTTCCGTGAAAACAGTTTCGAATCGATTCAAAAAGGTGACATCCAGTCGACTGTTACGTCGTTGGGCAGATCAAATCAACAAAGGAGGGATATATATAGAGAAGTTGAAGCGTATTTCGGAGTATACATTGAATAATATGAAAAACGCAATTGATGCGGGATTGGTTGTTCACGTCACCGACCTACGCAGGTGGGCTCTGCAAGCTCGGAAAAATATAGAATTTGAAGACATTCGTTTCACGTCTTCCCCATGGTGGTTACATAATTTCAAGAAAGCACATCGTATCACATCTCGGAAAATTAACAAATTCGTCACGCGCAAAACAGTAGAAAATCGAGAAACTCTACAAAAACTATCAGACGAATTTCTTCTAAAAGTTCAGCCTTATTTTGCCACGTATGGACTGGAAAAATCTTTAATTCGGATCAGAGTGATTTTCAATTAAAAATTCATTCAGGGCGTACTTTAGCTGAAGAAGGCGCAAAACAAGTGGCATGTATAGCACAATCGGTAACCTCGACAACACATAGTTATACGATCCAACCCACAATTTCTACTCATGACAAATTCTTTTCACCTCTCTTCCTGCTTTTGAAAGAACCTTCTGGAACTTTTGGCCCTATCGTGGAGCAGAATCTTTTCATACCATCCAATGTTTTTGGCACTGGCTCAAATTCGGGGAAACTCACTTCAGGTACGATAATGTTCAAGACACAAGAGCACCTGATATTCTCTACACATTAATCACGATCATTAAAATGTTCTCAATGTTTAGAGCATTTCAAAACATGGTCGAAGGAAGTATTTTTCCCAAACATTGGACCTAAAGTCTACTGCTGATAGAATTGTGGAGTGCGTGATCACTGTGCTGAAGCGGTACGAGAAGCAACACCTCCAAATCAAGAGTTATTAACTATGTTGATACCGAAGGGTACCACTGGAAAGATTCAACCCCGCGATGTGTTCGGTTTTAGAATATGGAAAAATTATTTCCGTCATTTTTCGGATACTGTTGTCCTCCTTGGTCATGATATTAATTTACATTTAAGGAATAATATAATAAAGTTACAATCTTTGGTCCATAATCAGTTATCTTCACCAAGATATCAAAATCTATTTATGGTTGGTTTGAAGGTGGTTATATTGTTAGAAAACCGAAAGAGTTTGAGAATCCCATCGATTTTTCCTTCGGGAAATCTTCTCATCTCCACTGTGACATTGAGGGCTCTTCCAATGTCGCTATAGTTCGGTGCTTATGGTGCAAAAAATCTCTTTCTTTGTCGCCTTTTTTTATGAATACCATTTCTGTATGAATTACAATCCCTAATATTACCTATCTAGAATATTGATGATTCGGAAATACTAAAATCATAATATATGCGAAAAATAAATGCTATGAACTGCATGCTACCATTATTCGACAACTTTACTTGGAATCCCACTCTTGAGTAATTACTGATAATTATTGTCATATTTGCATATCGAGTTGTCATCAAATGCTTCTGATGTTGGGAAGGCTGTCATGGCGATTCGTTAAGAGAAATTACATAAAATATAAATAGGCAGCAGATTTGACAATTTGCAAATTATTAATCCACTCGATCCACCCGATGTGTTCGAATTTCGATTGAAGAAAACAAAAACAAAAAAAGGTACTTCGTATCTTTTCCTTACGTTGCAAATAGGAATGATTCCATAAAATTTTAAACCATGTTTTTTTGTTTTATCGAAGACGAACTTGTCAGGAGGTTTACTTAATCCCCACATTCACCACACCGAGTACGAATTTGACTGTTAATCCTTTTATTCCACACAAGCTTCGATTTACACTGCGGAAAATTGAAAGATAGGACCATTACTGGAAGTTGATTTTTTCGTTATTAAACTGCAATTTGTAAAAAAAATGCAAGAAAAATGACTTTAATTTCCCTAATTATCGCCACAAACTATCTCAAGTCTTTTTAAAACAACCCAACGTGAAATATTACCCAAAAGGCGCCAGTCTATTTTAATTATTTCTACACCTTGGCCAAATAGACAAATGCCAAACCCAAATTTCCTCTCAACACTAAAAAAAACTAAAAAAAAACTCAACAAATCTCCAACCCGGACTTTTCATTACAAGGGGGAGGGAGGACGATACTCTCTTAATCGGGATTCGGATTTTTGGAAATTAATTACAACGCGACATAATTTATATCTTAAAAGATCAAATGTATTCTTAATACTCACAAAAATTGAAATTAATAATTTCGAAAAGAAATATAAGAATTTCTACACCATAAAAATAAATCTGGATGGACCACTGGTCCTAACCCCCGTGCGAAAGATACAAATAAATTCAATGAATCTCGTCTGTACAATATAGAAAATGATTTACTGAGACTCTCCGGTCTCCCAAAATCCACTCAATTGAATTAATATAGATTCAAAACGATCCTCAACAGGTTCGAGGCTGCGGCCTCGACCTTGAAACTTGAAAAATACTCAAAACTACAACTTATCTCGATTCATCCAGTCCAGGGCCCCAGAATGCGCTCCAGCTGCACCAGACCGTCGAAATCTCCAAGACGACTCAAAACTCGACTTTACTCAACTCAACTCCAACTATTTGCGATGCAGATTTCTCTACGACTTTAAACTGTTACTCGACTCTATCTATCTGCTACGCAGATTTCTCTACTACTCAAACCTGCTACTCTATATACTCTACGATGTCTCTGTGAGAACTAACGCTACGTGGCCAGTTCGCCAAAAATCGTACTCAATCAAAGAGCCTACCCCCTCTCTAATGCCACCTGGACTGGATAATCGTTGCAATATTTAATTTAGTTTTGACTCAAATTCTCAATATAAAAGGTTCTCCGGAGTTATTATCGTAGTGGATTTTCTCCCACGATGCTTCCTCATCCTGAGAATGATTCCCCACGTTCGTCCCGGATTTTCCTTGACTCCGGCATTTTCTGTCCTTGTCGGCTCCTCTCCTCGGTCAACGAATCAGGTCCGTCCCCAGGTGGTCAGCGGGTTCCAGTTGGTCCCAAGAGATTTTTCTCAGAGCCGTCCTTTTCTCGACCATAATTCCTAAATAATTGATAATAATTCCAAATCGTTGGAATTTTCCCAATGGTTCCTTCGGTTTCTATCGAAACGAAAGGAGCTTGAGCTCCCCCCGAGACTCAGCATTTAATTAATTAATTATTTGAATTTAAAATAAAAATAGATAGAACCTGTGACAACCAGATTATCACAAATTATTCTGTCTTTTTGAATACTCTTCCGAAGGGAATTGGTTCCATGAAATTCTGAGCAATAGTTTTTTTCTAATTGTAAAAATAATTTTTCGCGGGGGTAGTTCACTCCCTAAATTTCAACCCCCGGGGATGATTTTAATTTACATATTCATCATTCATCATAAGCTTCCTTTTACATGGTAAAATATTTGTCTGAGTATTCTCTTTATCTACGCAAACGACAAAATAACCTAGAGAAGTGGCCTACTTGAGAGGACAATTTTGCCCCCAAAATCCACGTATTAGCCGATAAGAAAAAATACGTGTCCCTTAGTTTTGACTCCTTTATAACATATATAAGTTTCATCAAAATCGGAGGCGGAAACCTATCTGGGGTTCCTTGTAAGGCAACTGTAAAGAAGTGTTGATGTCTAGAAAGTGCTTTTGTGACGTGGATTTCCAGATCAGTTAAGTGGTTGATGGTCGATTTAAATTTCCGGAAGCCGTTTTGGTTGGGATCCAGCTGGGACTTTTTTTCGAGTTACCATCTCAAACGATTGTTGACGATTTTTTCCATTATTTTACGTAGATTATTTGTGTGTGCTAAGGGCCGATAATTGCTTGATTTACTCTTGTCCTTGCCAGGTTTTGGGATTAGTACTATTTTAGCCTCTCCCCACATCTTGGGGAACAGTTACTTCAGCCATATTAGATTGAATATGTCTAGAATATAGTTTATGGCTAGGTCTAGAAAGTTTTTGATGAGAATATTCGGGATGTCATCCGGCTCAGCGCTGGAGTTCTTGCTGCCTGCGATGGCTCCTTTTAGTTCATCCATAGTTAGTGGTGTATTAATTGGGTTGTTGTCTTCTTGAATTATAATAATATCATTTTCTTCGATTTCCTGTTGGTGTTGCATGAATTTCATGCTGAAGTTATTTGAGCTAGAATTACTAGCAAACGTTTCTGCTAGCCAATTGGCTATCTTTTTGGTTCTGCGATGAGTTTTCCATCTTTGGTTCCTAGGTAGGTGATATTGGGACACGGGTACGTACGTTTTAGATAATAGATTTTTCTCCATATTTCTCGGGAGGAGATGCCAGGTTTGAGAGACGAGAGGAATTCTTCCCACGATTTTTGTGAGCTAT